TACTTAGGGGACGGAGTATTGTGATACTACCATGTTTCCCCCAAATTAAGACAGGGTCTTATTTTCTTTTAATCTCCGAAATAAACACTTGGCCTTATTTTTGGGAAGTCTTATCATTTTTGAGCTGCAGGAGGCGGTGAGTGTGGTCACTTCATGGCTGCTGCTGTCTTACAATATTTTCGGGGAGGGATTATTTTTGGGAGAGGGATTATTTTAGCGCATGCACTCAAAAGCCCGATTAGGCTTATTATCTGGGGAGGCTTATTTTTAGGGAAACAGAGAGTATCCTTAAAGTCATTTCAGTAAATATTTTGCAAGACATAAGGGACACAGGAGTCCTCCAAAGGAGCAGGAGAATAGGACATGAAGGATTTAATTGCCCATTCTTCTTATTCTTCTTTCCAGGTGCTGGAGGACAGAATGGAGAAACTCCAGATGGCTCTTCACACTTTTCTATGTGGTGAGTTGTTTTATTCGTTGAACTGGTCATCGTTATAACGGCATCAGTGGTTTGGGGCGATCAATCCAGAAAAAACACCGATTGCATTTCTTGAAGTGGTTTTGATGTGGTTGGATTTTCTTTTTTAAATTTAGGGAGAGCACAAGCAACACAAATACAAAAACACATCGAGAGTAACAACAGAGGTGACCAAGCCAGGCCTCCTGCTGCACCAGGAGCGCAGAGGATGGGGATGCTTGCCTGCCTGCCCACTCAGAGGCCTTGCTGATTCAGTGCAAAGGGAAAGTGCAATCAAAATTGTCATCTCTCCCATGCTATGGTTTAGTTGCTGGCCATCACTGGTGCTGTGAGGACTGCTCCTATCCGTCCAGTTGCCAAGCTCTGAATCTCAGGATTGCTTTACTCAGGTTCGGGAAGCTGCAATTCCCCCCCCCCCAGCCCCCAATTACATTATTTCCATTGTTCTTCTACATGCGACAAACCTATCTGCAGACTGACCTCCAGCCTATCTTTTCTCAGCATTAAATTGCTGGCACAGACCTCATTTCTTTCTGTTGTGGTTCTTGAAGTCCTCTGGCCCTGAGCCAGCGTCTGCTTAGAAAGGACACAGGCTCATTTTTCCAGTTGAGCATGAATCATCAGTTGCCATCTTATTCTGAGTAGTTTTTTGGCCTAACCTAAACTGTAGCCTGAGTCAGCAGTAGCCAGGTATATTGGCCCACAGCTTGAGAACTCGAAGATATATGGCCGATCATTGGGGATTCTCAGAATTGTTCTTTACATTTGGTAGGATTGGAGAAATCTAGCCTGGGCATTTTTTTTAAAAAAATGTCTTCCTACCTCTGTCAGCTTTGTAAGTAGTATGGGCTAATGACTTTCTGGAGCTCAACACTTTCTAGAATAGCTCTGCTCGCAACCCATAAGCCCTTGTGCTTATGACTTGAAGGACTGAGATGAAGCTGCTCTATAATTGTGTGATCCAAGAAGTGCTGATGCAATACCGAGCTTTTCTTTTCTCTGCTGTGTGCTGCCACTTATTGCAGAGTTTGTAATATACAGATTATAAAGATGTAATTTAAAAAAACAACCCCAAAAGTAGCTTGGTTGTTATTGTAGCCATTGCATGTGAACTGCATTTTATTAGTTAAGGGCCATGCTACCTACTGAGCAGAAAAACATCCACAATTTTGTTTTAAAAAAATTGAAGGGGAGGCGTGCAACTTTTCCATGTTCTTCTCCTAAATTTCTCTCCATGGACCTAATATTAATTTTAAATGGAAGTTAACAATGTTTTTTGCCCCATCAGCTCCTGTAAATACTGCAACCTGTTTCTGTTTGCATAGTTTTGGTTCACATATGCTTTCAAAAAGTTACGCCTTTATGGATTAAAATAGGAACGAGGTAGCTCTGAACTGTCTGTCAAAGAGGATGGTAGCACCTAGCTGACCTTGGAAAAACTAGACCAAGTTGATCCTGCCTAGTACTTAGATGGAAGACCACCAGGGAATGCCAGCGCTATTGAGCTGGCCAGAAAACAAAAAGCAAAAATGACATCTACCAAAGATAACAACAGCGAACTATTTTATTCTTTCCAAGAAAATTTCATAGATGTGTCCTGAGCTGTGTTTCAAGATATTCTCTGAAGCCTCCAGCTCAGGAAAAAAAAGAGCAAAGAAATAAAAGAGGATTTGCCTAAGCTTGAATCATTGCTCCTGCCTATTCTCACAAAACATGTGTTGAAGAATTAACAATCCTCTTCTTAAAAGAAAATGGCTCATAAGTAGTTCTGTGATTTTTTTGTATCCCTGTGCCTACTGACATCTTTGGTATCTAACTACCTGACATTTATTTTAAAAAAAATTCCAGTGGGCTCATCGGCATTCTCAGAGTATAAAAATAGAGAGGGATAGCAGTCTAGTGTCCATCTACCCAGGAAAAAGATAGCTGATCAGCTCTGAGTCAAAGAGCAAGGTCCTAAAGACGAGAGTTCAAAAGTGGAAAGTGTCTTCTTCAGTTTTCCTTCTGCTAAATTAGAATTTTGTTGCTGATCATCTCCAATTTTGTAAGTCTGTCCAGAATATGCTTTCCAAATTCCAATGTGCCTAACCAATCCCCAAAATGTAGCCTAGATTCAACTGTATGTGCATGATCTGAGCCAAGAGAATCATGACAGCAACTGAGAAGCTACTGAGCAGATGAGAGGAATAAAACCAGGTTACTTTTCTGCTTATCAGATCTCAAATATTCCACCTCACACTGCAGTCATCAATCCTAGACTGATACAGTCTTCTCTAGGCTCAATTTGTCCTTAGTAGCAGACTCTCCATAGAGTCAAATATCTCTTGTCTTTTAATACAATGTGATACAAAATGTTTAAAAAATCTCTGCTGGCAGCAGCCTACTTTATGGTGTAGTAATGGGTAGGTGTAAAAGGCATTTTGGTGACAAGAGCTGGGTAGTTCTTCTTCCTCACCTCTACAGTGAGGGCTGTGTTCAGTTTGCTGAATTCACTGTCCACGTAGCCCATAGCAATATTCTTCTGCAGGCATGGTGATGGGCAGCCACTAGTAACTTCACCTAGTGTAAAGAGAAACAGCCAGAGTATTGCTCAATAGGGAGCATACAATTTCTACACCTAACAGGAAATAAGAGTTCTCGGATTTCCACACTATCCTCCCCCAGTACCCATTAAATAGCATAACATTCTTGTTTCCCTTGCATAGTGCCTTCCAGGTGTGCTGGAATAACTCCCACAAATTTCAACCAGCATAGTGGTTAGTGAAACCACTTAGCATTGTGGCATAGTGAAAAGCAGAGTCCTCAGATTACAGGGCCTACGGTCTCTCTGTCGAGAAAAATTAACAAAGAGCAATGAACAAAAATGGTGCTTTAGGTAGCAATTAAGAACAAGCAAACAGGGCATGGTTATTTCAAGTTCCGATTGTTACCAGGTAACAACAGCCCAATTCAAAGTCAAAATTCAATGTTTTTAGATCAAAACATTTTAAATTTGAATTGTTTTATACATCTCAAGTTTATACAATGTTCTATGTGTAAATATGTATCATTTAATTTTGGATGTGTATGTTGTATTGTATGAATCCAGCTGATTGTGATATATTCAATGAAACATTATTACACAAACCTGGCTTGGCATGATACGTGAATCCAGTCACTGTATGAAGTCAACCACACCAACAGGTATCATCATCATCATCATCATCTAGATTTCAGATCCATTAGACTACCTACCAATTGCCTTGCCCTCTGGGCTAAGAATGGGCACATGCTGCCGGATGGGAGGTCCTGTGGAAGTCAGCCCTACACGCTTCTTTTTCGGTTTCTCTTTAATTTGGGCCAAAATGATTGAAGCACCAGGGAAATCCATGGCAACACGACGGCGCTTCCCTGGAAGAAAGTCAGAAAAGTACAGTACCATGATAGCACTAGACCCCTTATTGTGGATCAGAAGATCCTCATTTCAGAAACAATTACTACTTGCTCAATATAGTTCCCCGTGACCCATCAAAAGCGCGGAGGACAAAAGCGCGCACGATGAAAGCGCGCATGTGACGTCATCACAGCGCGACGAAAACA